CCTAAACATCCCTAAACCCCCAAACCGTACTCCTCTCCTCAAGTCGGAAATCTCGGCCTTCCGGGCTGTGGAGCTCGGAGCGTCTCACGGCGAAGCAGAAAGGCTGCGGAGCGAAGGCGTCAGCGAAGAGCTTCCGGTTGTGAAAGTTCATGTAGTCCTAGGCTTTAGGGCTTAGGGTTCAGGGTGTAGGGTTTAGGGTTTAAGGTTTAGGGGTATAGGGTTTAGGATTTAGGGTTTAGGGTTTAGGGAGTCGCAGGGCCATGGAGGCCCCTTATGAGGATCCATTGAGGCCATGAGTTGTCCGCTGCTTCGCTGATGTAGCTACCTGGCTTTCAGGCCCTCGTTTCTGCCAAGCAGCCGAGAAGTCCTTTGGAGACACCGACTTGCCAATGGCTGCTAGCAGCTGAGCTCGAAGCCTCGGTTAAGATGCGTTCGACAAGCCAACCTCCTTCTAGGAGGCTCTGAAAGCTGTTGTTTACAACCAAGCCACATGCTCTCGACGTATCTCAATGACTCGTCGTATTGGCGACACACTGCCTGGTCGGACGTGGAGAGTTGAGAATGGCACTGCAGCGTTCTCAGACCCTCCACCCTGAAGAATGCGGCTGCTACCACCCAACCGCAGTCTCTATATGTGTTGATGAAGTCCAAGATTCACAGCAGTGCAAAGTCGTCGCGACCAGTTGCGCTTCCGCCGCGGTGATGACGGAGTCGGACTGAGGGAAGACCTCCGTGGGAGGAGCTCAGGGGATCCAGCTCACGATCGATCCGGGCACCCTACCTGGGCCAGTTCCCCAAACTTTGCCTCCAGGGATCCTTGGTCTTGGTTCTTCAGTCAGCCAGTTTTCGGATTCGGCGGCCATGCGATGAAACTTCCACTTTGCTTCTCCCAAGATCGCCAGTGGACAAGTCTCGGAAATTCCGGCCCTCAAGCCACGTTGAGGCAGGTGGCGTCTTTCTTCCTGCAGGAACCTGTTCGCATCTCCGAGGCTGAGCGTGGCCCCTGGCTGGGTCGGGCTTGGTAAAAGACAATGGGAGCTAGGACAAGGGGGACGCTTGGGGATATAGACCCTCTCAATGAGGTCCCTTTAAGGGGTACCCCTAATAATACTACCTAGACAAAATGGTCCAGGACTTCCTGCCTCGGTCCGGATCTTGGCTGCCAAGATCGATCAGATCGCCCGAGCCGGGGACCTGTATGAAAAAGCATAACATTATGGGAGTTTCCGAAAATAAGGGGTACCTTATTTTGGGGTCCTTTTTTTAAGGATCCTACTATCTAAGGTATTATATTAGGGTCCCCTATTTTTGGAAACATACCACTGCTGGGAAAGGTGTCCATCTGAAGCAGGCCTGGACAATAGCCCGCGTGTTCGGATCTTCCAGGAGCGGAAGGACAGGCTGGAAGATGCCCTCATCGGTCACCGAAGTTTCCTGGAGACAGAACCCCTTCACACAAAAAGCAGCGCGCTTCCATTGCCAGCTTTCGAGTAAGGCCCCTTCAAAGCTCTTGGTATCGATCTTGCGGCACATCTCCACCCTGCATGGCTCAGAATCGAAGGGTCCCCCGTCTCCCTGAAGCTCTGAGGCTCACACAGATAATGGACGATGGCCTCACCCCAGGTTCGGAACTGGCCAAAGTACTTCTGGGAGGCCTCTACCTGCCCAGCCCACCAAGGCTACTTCATGTCACTGTCGCAAAGGCACAGCCGAAGACCCCCCTCACACCTCAGAGTTGCGCGTTGGTGTCCTGCACTTGGCATCCTGACGGCGGATGCTGAAGCCCGCCGACTGAGGAGCATCCTGGCTTGCGGGAGGGTTGTTCGATTTTTCAATTCTGCACAGCCGAACACCTCACCATGGAGAGCTGGCGTCTTTGTTAGCGGGAGTTCAGAAATCCATGCTCCCGCCCCCTGCATGCCGAAGCTTGGGAAAAGAAAGACATTGCGAGCAACAGGAAGTTGTGCAAAACATTGGAGAGTGACCTCCCTTGGCTCATGACCTAGGACAGTTCACACACGCACATACACACACGCGCGTGCACGCACACACACACACACACACAAACACACAAACACACAAACACACAAACACACAAACACACAAACACACACACCCGCGTGCACGCGCATACACACACGTACGTGCCCGCGTGCTCTTGGTTTCGGCACGCTTCGGTAGATTTCTGGTAAAACACATCCCAGTGGCCTCTCGCAACGAACGCAACAGGAAGCTCACGTTAACCTTGGATATGCCAGCGCACCTCTAATCTGGCAGCTTTCATGTGCAGTAAGGCCAGGGAAGTCCCAGTAATCCTAGTTTCCAAGAACTAGTCTCTTCCAAGCAGCTGGATCCGGCTTGTGCACCTTCACTTCGGGAAAGGGTGGCACCTTTCCTGATGTCTTTATCCTCAGGATGGCACATCTAGCACTGGACTCTCCAGCGATTGAAAAGGGTGAAGGTGTGCTGCAAGACTTCCTCCACTCACTGCTGCAGAGGCTCTCAGACGTACCACTACGGCTCCTAAAGACGATTCGGTCGTCGGCTTCTGCACCTCCATAGAAACCACACGAAGTACAGAGATATACAGAGATCTCCAGAGTCTCAGAGTGTCCGGTGAAAAGCTCACGCAATGCGGCACCTACACCGCGAAACGCTGTCAGCTCGTATTGGACGCTGAAGCTCCAGACGTATTCCTGAGCCGAGTGCTCTCAGACTTCAAGGGCTCGGGATGGCTCGGGAGGTAGAGGGGACCGTCGCAGCTTCACGGGCACACAGAGACGTCGTAAAAAGGTCAGATATGCTAATAGTGGATTCTGCATCTACTTATGATCTCAGTACATCGGCAATCCTTGGGAGAATGCGCAAGATGGCAGCTAAGAGGCCGTCACGGTGGTGACCACCTGCAGCTTGGAGGCGAATTCGGAATCTAGGAGTCCCTGCAGTTGCTCCTACAACCTAAACCCACCCCAAAACCCTAAACATCCCTAAACCCTAAACCCCCCTACACCCTAAACCTCCCTGAACCCAAACGTGCGTTCTTTGATGCCCTTTGCACCCCTCTGCCTTCGTAGTGGTCTCGACTATGCCTCAGATCCGACATGCCGGAGGATCGAGTCGTGGATCCGACAAAGCTCAATCCAGAAATCCGGGTAGGAGACCAGACAAACACTTGCGGTGCAGACCAAAATGCAAAGTTAAGGGTTCAGTATGCACGAAGCCTTCAGGTTGCCTCGAACATTAAAAGAAGTCTCACTGTGCAGCTTCGCTTTGATCTGCGACACCACTTTCGGAGACCCCTCCGATCTTGCTCCAAGACTTCCGAATGCTTCAATTTCCGTTTACAAGTGGGTATTTACGAGATAGATTCATGCCCGGTACGTGTCAGCTCTTGTGTAGGGGCAGGTATGGATGCGGGTGTGGGTGCGGGTGCAGGTGCAGATGTAGGAAGTTAAGGCATTAATGGTGGCAGTACTTGGAGGTTCATGGGTAGCTATAAGTGAGGTTATAAGTCCCCTAATATGGGTGAAAAGTATAGTTACCCTACTTAGAACCCCACGTATCACTACCCATGAACCTCCAAGTACTCATCGTCGTCTTCGTGGTGGTAGCTGCCGCACTGGATGAACTACCTGTCTGTTTTCGGCCGGGAAGCTGGCCCCAGCCACTTTCACCTCTGCAAGACAGGGGAGAACGCAACGCTCAAGGGTTTGGGGTTTATGGTTTAGGGGTTTAGGGTTTCGGGTTTAGGGGTTTAGGGTTTAGGGTTTAGGGCTTTGGGGGTTTAGGGTTTAGGGCTCATTGTTGCTTCTGTCGACAGCATCTTTGTCATTGCCACTCTCTTGAAGTTATCGGAACCGTACATGATGGCAGACTCACGGTCACACTGCACAAAGTGGAATTGGGAGCGATCGCGAGGTGCCCTCATCCAGCTCATGCTTCAGACATTGGAAGGAAAGTTGCAGTAGCCCAACAACACATGCTAATCGAGATGCCTGTCACAACCATTCTGATACTGACACCACCCTGTCCACCTGCCTCTTCCACCCTGCGAGAGCCCTCGATGTCTCTGGACTCCTCCCGGAGAAACTTGCACCGCTCTTCTGCACAGAATTGGAGCGAGACCTCGGTGAGTTTGCAGGAACAACACAACTGTGCCACTTTGAAAGCCTACAGACCTACAGCACGGCTGCTCAGCTATCTTCTCTTTTCCCACGAGAAGCATGCAAGCCAAAGGCCGGGTTGCGCTGTTTTCCGATGCCCAGCTCCGCAGCATCTGCAGCTGCGCGGAGGTCAGGCCCAGTGCCTGGAGGCAGCTGATCCTCAGAGAGGGGAGGCTGTAGCAAAGTCCGAGAGAACGCTGAAACTTTATTTCGTAGATGTTTCTGCGGCGGGTCCATAGCCGCAGCGATCAACATCCTTTTCTACCAGGTCACTGGGAGGCAAGAGCAGAGTTCGTCAGGAATTCGACGAGAAGGAACTTGTCCAAATAGCGATGGAATCTCAGCGAAGTCTGCGTGGACAGGGGTCGGAAGCGCTGCTGCAAGTCACTGTCGGAGCTCAGTCACAGTAATCCCCGATGTGCTGGGTAGTGATGTAGCCCGCATGGGAATGTGAGCGAAACTGGCAGGTTCACGACCACAAAAGGTTCTCTAGTAGAGGCAGCAGCAGGTGCAGCATGATGGTAGTGATAGTAGTGGCGAAAACAGGCTGCTTAGAAGCAGTAGTAGTAGTAGTAGTAGTCGTCGTCGTCGTCGTCGTGGTGAATCGAAGTCGTGGTCGTGGTCGTCGTCGTCGTCGTCGTCGTCGTCGTCGTCGTCGTCGTCGTCGTCGTAGTAGTAGTAGTAGTAGTAGTCAGCAGCAGCAGCAACATCGGCAGTAGCATCCCTATCTCCACTACTTTGGCACCATCCGATCCTTGCTTTCATCGGCCATTGTTCTGCTTTGCATGCTGCTAGTCGAATTGCAAGCTGAAGGATTTGGGCCTCATGAATCTGACTATGGCAATATACTTACACGACATCCGTTATTTATCAATGCTTATCCCCGCCAAGACGATTTTCAGAATTCGTCCCGCAACATGCACCATACCAGTGCCCTACCATCATGAAATGCCGGGCCACACATCTGCCGCAGCCTTCGGCTGCCTTGATGCCTGAAGGAGCGATCCGAGGCTCGAGCCCACTTGCCAAACCCCAAAAGCCTAAACCCTACAACTCCAAAGCCTAGAACCCTAAACGCCACAAGAGAACCCTGAACACTGTGATCTCTTTGCGAAAGAATTCTGCTCCCAGCCTCCAAGACGCGCGCCACGGTTTCCAAGGCCTTGTCGAGGCGGACTCGGAAGTTCCTCCTTCGGCGCTCTTTTGGGCTTTGACCGGGGGTCTCGTGGGTCTCAAAAGGTGGCTCCAGGCTCCTGGTCTTTCCCGTCTCTTCGCGTCTATACTGTCCATACTCTCTGAAAAGCGAGACCCTTTCTTACAAGCGGGTCCAAGCTTACTCGGAAACAGGAGTGACATGTGATATTTGGCTCCCAGCGGCTCGAAACTGTCTTCGCTGAAAAGAACCATGGTCTGCCAGAGCTGCTGTCAGCCACCACTGTAAGCAACGCGGCTGCGCTTCGTGCGGGCAAAGGTCACGCCGGCCAAAAACCACCGCCACTGCACGCTGATGCTGTCAGCACGGAGGCTTTTGCTGCTAAGCATGATCGTAATTTCAACCATAGGCAACAGCGATGACACTGACTGGAGCTGACCAGCAATACTAGCGATGACAACACCGGCCAACAACAACAACAGCAGCAATCGCAACACCACGGCTAGCGAAGTAGTAGCAGTTGTTGCCGCTGTAGAAACACAAGAACAGGTCTTGGTAGTGGCAGTGGTCGTGAAAGGAGGAGCACGGCGCGCAGCAGCAAGCAGCTGTAAAAACAGATTCCAAGCTCCCAGCTCTCTTTCTGCCTGTGATAGCCTTGCACGGCTCCACGCCACCGTCTCTTCCACAGTTGCCCCGTCCTTTCTACAGATCTGCACGGTGTCAAGCATCTCTTCCCAGCGTAGAAGAACAAGACTCTTGTTAAACACCAGTAGTGCAAAGGAAGTCTGGACAGGTGTTGTGTGTCTTGTTTCAAGTCTTGGTGAGCATTCAATCGATGTATCCTCAAGGCTTTCGGGCACCGCGGCAGACTCTTCACCAGCATCCATAGCTTCGGGCCTGGCACAAGGTCACCAGCTGGGGGCTCCACCTAACCATGAAAGATGCTGCCTTCGGTGCCTTTCGAAATGGTAACCACTCACTGGGTCCTTTCCCGGCACGAAAACTAACGTTGTCACAATGCTTGTCACTCTCATCAACGCCATCACCAACAATCATCACGGACAAGTTTGTTGGGTTTACCCTGTCCGCACCAAACCGATCATCTCTGCAAGCAGTACTTGCCCCCGCTGCCATAGCTGCTGCTGCTTGTGCTGCCACGACGACGACGACGACACTTGTTCTCCCTAGCTGCTTGCACTTTTCTTGATGACATTGTCTTGTGCAATCGCACTGTGCTTCTACTTCGACTATAGTGATACCTGCGTATTGCAAGAAGTCTACGAACATACAATGCCATGCTTGTTTGACCACTACTGCATAAAGGACTCTTATGTTATTACAGTTGCTGCGGGTTTGACGTCTGACTTTGCCTATGAGTCTTCCGACGCATCAGCGTACACTGACACTGTACTGTACTCTTCGAATTTTCAGCGCTGTGTAGACGCCGGAGGGGACGGCATTTCAGCAAAGCGCTCACCCACTCACTCACTCACGCACGCACGCACTCACTCACCCATTCACATGCATCACGAATGATAGGTCATTACCTACAGCTACAAATCCATTTCGAAATTGCCTGTTATTACGAACGTTTATACTCTCTGCTATGGTTGCGGTTACGGCTGCCTCTGTCACGGTTGACTCGCGCATCAGGCTTACTTCTGACCTCTACTGGCACAACTACGATCTTGCATATTCCTACTGTTCGTGCTGTTTCTGCTGTCTGACTCTTGCGGCTCTCTTTGCTACTTGGTTTTTCGCGTTGCAACCATAGCTCCGGCTGTCTGCTTAGTCCTATTGGTCGTGCTTGCAGTTCTTCTTTTAATGACTTTAGTGCCCATCGTGACTTCTCTGCAGTTCCTGCTACTGAGGCAACTATCACCACTTACAGATAGACCAAGTAACGACAAGGAAAAGACGAAAGCATCATGGCATCATGTTGGTACTTAGATTAGACCCTGAACCCTAAACCCTAAACCCTGAACAAGAAGAGTAGCAACACTGATGAGGGGTCTTAGGCCGCGGCTCTGGTTGTGCTCCCGGTGCACATTCCAGAGTGGGCCTCGGGTCACGTTGTTTCCATTCCCCGTACCCCATATCCCCTATATGTATACATGTATGTATGTATGCATGTATGTATGTACGGATGTATGTATGTCTTTGTATATACGGTTCCGAATACGTATCTATATAATTATATACATACATATACATATATGTAAATATATGTGGATACCATACCGCTCCCCATACTCAATCCTCATACCCCACGTCCGACCAGACTGCTAGCTGAGTCGGGAGCTGGTTGACGCTTGGCCTCGCCACGTCCTGTCGGCACGGCGGATAGAGGCAAGTCAACACGCTCGACGACATCAAACGGATCTTTCCGCCGCTTGGATCCATGAACGGCAGGCTGCACTGACAAGCCGGACACTGCTCATTCTCCCGTCTCAAACCGGGCCGGAGTCAACTTGCGACGAGGTGTTGTGGCAGTGCGCCATGTACGTACTACCCATAAAACAGCCAGGATGAAGACTCAACGCGTCCCAGAGACCTTGATGCGCTCGGCTTCCGGAAGCTGCAGCACCGTCGCGGTTGCCTGAGAACGAAAAGGGGGCCCGGGAGGTGAGTCCACACCCCGTGTAGCGAGCTGAATGAAGGCAGATAAAGCACATCTTGCTCAGGAACCTCTGTACATCAACCCGTGCATTGTGACTGTTATCACGGCATCACATCATGGCCCGCACAACAAACACCATCCAAGAAGCGCAGCGAGTGAGGTCGGAGGTGATGGTGTAGTTCAACGTCAAGTCGTTGAACAAGACGCAGCACGTGGACCTGGGCCTTCGCCGTGCGAGCAGGACGGCCCAGCAAGCCAGCATTCCACAAATTGTTTCCTCCTAAGTACCTCTGCTTTGTTCAATTCGTTCTGGGGACCGAACCCTTCCAGGTTCGGGGAGGCCGCCCGGCGACAACATGAACCTGCAAGACATCAAGTTGAAGGTAATAGGTAGCCACTTGCTAAGCCAAACGCTACAACTCTGCGCACCAGGAGAACTACAACTTATCTAGACCTCCTTTGCAAGCCGCTGCCGTCCCTGAGCATCGAGCATCCAGAGCAGTCGGACATCGACGAAGACCAATCATTCTCCGCATACTCCCAACCTCCACCATGCAGTCCGGCGCATCGAATGTACTCTGGACATCAAGCTCGGAAGGCATATCTTATGTGGTCTAGTCTGCTTTGCCTCCCTGGATTCTGAAGCTGTCCTAGGCCTGTTGCCCTGCGGTGCCACACGTGGCTTGATGCATGAGTCGCAGGCAGTCGTCGGTGCCAACACTTCGGCACCAATTCAAGTCCTGCGCCGGCGGTGCAACAGCATTCAAGTCTTCATGGCGGCAAGAGCGCTTCCGGAACGCCGACTTGCAGCAGAGAATCGCCCGCAACATGTACGGTCCTGCGAACTGGAGAACCCGTAGCACCTGTCGTCCAAAGGCTGTTTGTAGCTAGCATCTCGAACTCTGCTCTAACTCAAGTCCAACCCTCCTGGCCTCCACTTGTTCGAGTCTTGCGATGGCACGGGGCACTTCGGTTCTTCCGCCGTGCACCTCGCAAGCAGCATCTGCGATCCATGTCAGCCAGCCAAGCTTCGAGACGTCCTACCCAAGTGGAGTGGCAAATCTGGGCTGTCTGCTGATATCCGATCCATAGCTCGCTGGCCTGAGAGCGATCTAGAATGAAAGCTTGGAATCCCTCTGCATGTTCAACGCACTGTGACGCGGTGCAGCAGTCTCCTTGAAGCAGGCTTCTTAATTCTCAGAGTCTCAGACTTCCATGCCGCTTCACACGACTCCACACATGGATGCTGCTAGCATCGCCACTGAAAGACTTGTCCGATCCCGGCGAGAGCCCCTGAGCCACGTGCAAACTCTGCGCCGGAAGCCATAGACTCCTCCGCTGACCAGAAGTCCTTCCTCGAAACGGAATAAAGCTACGAAAACAGAAACGAAAGTCAAGACTCCGAGAGTCGCACTGCACCATCCACTGTCGGGTGGCATCTGTTCCTGAAAGAGTCTGTGCGGTCTGGACACCCAGGCAGAGGGGAGAGCTTCAGATCCATCAGCGGTTGTTGCATTTACAGTCTGACTTCGTCCTGAGCAGCGAGAGTGAGAGAGTAAAATGCTGCCCTGCTGGTGCAAGATACTCCAAGCCTGAAATCAGCGGGTCATACTGGAAGTTGGTGAACCTGCCGAAGAGAAGAGACCGCGTGGAAGCTAAGTGCGTGCTGTTTGTAGGGCTGCTCTGGAAACTTGGGGCGACCCATACACGGTTTGTGTGCCCCGAAGCTCCAAGCCCTGAACCATTAAACCCTTAAACCCTTGAACCCTTAAACCCTTAAACCCTTGAATCCTGAACCCCTAAAGCCCTAAACCCTGAACTGAACCCTTCACGCCAAACCTTGGCACCCTGAAACCCTAAAATACCAAAGAGCAAGGCTCGTCTTGAAGCTAAGCGGGCCGCACCTGGGATCGAAGGTCGGCAGGGCATAGAGCAGCGGCCGCCTTGGATGCACCTGGGCCGCAGGACTCGGCAACTGCGCTGAGAGTCTCTGGTAGAACAGGTAGACCACATGTGTGAATTGACGAGATCCGGAAGGAACCATGTCATAAGAGTGTTGTGCATTGCACTATGATAAGACAAGGACCGGGACCGACAGTGCAGTGTCGACCAGTTTTCTCGGTTTTCCTTCTCCCATTCGACGTCGCCACACCACGCAGAAGTACACCTAGAGCTTGTTTTACAAATGGTGGCTGGGTCAAACCCCAGAAGCAGGCCGAACCATGGAGGTCGGCCAAGCTTCAGCCGATCCCACATCATCTTTGGGCTATACTACTGGGTGTACCGACAAAAAGAGAGGTGGGGGTTTCCGAAAATAGTGGACCCGAATATAGTACCCTAAATAATAGGATCCCTGTTATAAGGACCCCAAAATAAGGTACCCTAGTTCTGAAACTCCCAGGTACAGCCAGGGGTTTCTGCAAGACAGCCTGATGTCTGGGGCCCTGGCCCCGTACGACTTCGACCAGCCCTTGCGGCACCGATTTCGGGTGCGATGGTTGGGTGCTGCAAGAAGCTGTGTCCATATCTACGTCGATATCGATATCTGTATGCACATGTCTGTATCTGTATCCAAACCTACGTAGTTGTAAACGTACATATAATCCGCCGCGAGGTGTTTGCTCTCGCCATATGTGTACATATGTATGCAAGGTTGTATACACATGTGTATGTTTTCTATTTTCTCTTTATGCTCATATGCAATGCAGCATAAATAGGCAAGAAATACAAACCTATCTACCTACCTGCCGGTCTACCTACCTTCCTGCTCTGCCTGCCTGCCCGCCTGCCTGCTTCCCGGCCTCCCTCCCTACCTCCCCTACATACACTCAAGCGTACAGAAGTTCGGCGTGCAATGCACAGAACGACTGCTCCTTGCAGGCATGGGTCGCATCTTGCTCTAACGGTGTGTCAACAAGACCTCTACTGCGCCTCACTTACAGGGCAGGCCGAGGGCCTTCCCTGGATTTTGCGGGCTATCACTGTAGTAGTCCTGCAGCCTTGATTTTGCAGATGAACCAAGCTTCCCCCCGTCCCACGAAAGGACCCCCAATGTTGAAATGCTGCCACAGCATCGCGATCCTTCACCAATAATGAATCGACATGAGACATGATGATTCAAGAACTGTCCAAAATTCAAACGGTCGCGGGCCTTCTGCGGTGCAAACTTGGCCCTGGAGAACCGCGAGAGTGTGATGTTTGCTGCCCATGTGAAGTGGCCGACCTGCAGATGAAACAGGGCAGTTTTGTTTAATGCCCCCCGCTCGGAGCCGCAAACAACGCTGAAACATCTCTGCATTCATGTCCAGGACAACGGCCCGTCGCATACGACCGTCCTGGATGTCACCCCACCTGGCAAAGCTCGACTGATGGCCACCTCGAGTTTCGCCTTCCGGCAAAAAGCTAAGCTTCTGGCCCATTGAAATCCCCACGCAGGAACATCTCGTCGTGCCAGCCTTTTGTCATCGGCTATACTGCAACTTTGCACCCAACTCTCCCAACTGGCGGACGCCAAGCAACGCAGGCCCGCTGCCTTCTGCATTGGCTTTGAAGCTCAATTGAAACGGAGATATATGTATATCTGCCTGGTTACATCTATATGTATGTGTATATACATATACGTGATAATACGGTTTACATATGTACATGTGCATATATATATATATACATGTATGTGTATATATGTGTATATATATATATATTTATTTATTTATTTATTTATTTATTTCTGTATTTCTTTATTTCTTTATTTCTTTATTTACTTATTTATATTTATACATATATAAGTGTATGCATATATATATTATATATATATATATACATTGTTTATTTTAGACAAATGGAGCACTTTCGGCAGTGACCAAGGCCGAGCTCCTCGCTAGCATGGCAGCGCATCCCATCTGCCAGAACGCAGTCGCCAACGATGTAGCTGCTACTGGATCCAGCCTGCAAGCTCTTCTCAACTCGCACTGCCCCGTTACTCAAACCCTAAACCCTGAACCCCAAACCCCAAACTAAAACCCGAAACCCTGTTTCCTAAACTAACAAAACGTCTAGTTGAAGAATGCGTCTTCAGGGCCGAAGTTGAAGCCCAGCCCCTCCCTGAACCTCTTTTTTCTTGGGATCCCGGCATGGTACTGTACCAAGACCGGGATGCCCGGGTAGACCGGCCAGTCGCTCACATTCTGATATGGAAGCCACCTTGCTGGTGTCTGATGTCCATGCTGTTCCGTGCTCTGCCCTCCGTGCCCTACTCTGTGCCGAGGAAGCGGCTCCGACCACTTGCTATGCTGCCGCACATTCTGCATCCTGCATCCAGGGTTGGCAAAACCGCGGCGCATCTGCGCCAGAGCAGCTGCCAAGTCAGCGATGCCCGATGGGCCTCATCCATTTGGCCCCCGATGCCTGAACCGTTCGGCGACACCGAGATACACTGAGCATGCGCTCAACACGAGTCTGCAGGCACAGAGACCGAGGCCTCATGGCAAAGATGTCCAAAGTCCATACAAACTAGCCCCGGCTGCTCGTGCCTCATTTCAGGCAACGTGGCAAGTCGACGCCACCAGTCAAAGTTGAAAGCCGAGAGCCAGACATCTGCGGGTCCGCAATCACGTCACGTCCACGGTGCACCTCCGAAGTTCTCTTCATCGCGAAAAGGCCCAGATGCTGTGGGCTTTCAACTTCGCAATTCGTCGGGTTGCTTGGTGCGGCACTAAAAAGCTGGAGCGGAAGGTCGCAAAGAGCTCCTGCAACCGACTGGTGCTGAATAGATTTTGGGGCAGCCACACACTCGAGGCCAAAAACCCGTCTTGCCATCACAGTCGCAGCTCCATCCTGTCCATCAGCGGCCTTCACACCGGATGGCACGGCCACCTTCAGCCCAGGCAGGCGGTGCCCAGCTTCGTCCGACATCTTTCGGACTCCGGCAAGGGCGGTACAGCACTAGTCAAATAAAAGGTCGGGAGTCTGGCTTCGTGGAAGCCATCCGCAAGTGCGGCCACGCCATCTAGCTCCAAAAATGCGGCCTGCAAGAAGCCATCAACTTCCAGAGGCGCATCCGACAGCAAACGTCACTGCATACGCCGCAGCCCACCTGGCAGCTGGCATCCGCACAGCCTTCGGTCAGCGCGGAGCTCAACGACAGCTTCTGGATCTCGACTACTGACGGCCAGCTCTTCTCAGCTAGAAAAACGGAACAGATTCCAGCGCCATCCTGCGCCCCGGTGTTTTGCAGAAGTTGATTCGGCCAGGCAGCTGAAGAGACCCGGCCGGCCATCCAGCGTGACCACCGAGGCCACGAATGGATCCATGGGCCGGTCGAAACGGACGCTGACTCTGAGCCTCGCGACGGTGTCAGTGTGCTCTGTACCCATCCTATGCTGAATCACCCAGCTGTAGACCAACAAAACACGCTGGAGCCCGCTGAGGCCTTGGCTTCTCGCTGGAGCTCGGGTCAACGGCCTTATGCCGGAGGCGTTGGCAGAGCTTCAGCCACTGGCCCTGATAGTGATTGGGGACCCCACCAGCTCCGCAGCGTGTTTGGGGAAGACCTCCACAACCGTCGGAGGGACGGGACGTACAGTATCGGGCCTTGGTGAAGCATCGGGACGTAGAGCTGCTTTGCAGTCAGACGCGACAGAGGCGTGAATTCCAGGCTCCGGACACCAAGATCATGGCTTGCAGCGGTGCCACCAAGAGCGAGATCAGGCCACCGCTCTTCACCACAACCTGCTCGCATCCACAAGATGCTCTCATGAAGGGGAGGATGTTAATGATGAGGCTGATAAGGGATGCCTGAAATCGTTCCCCTTCCCATTTTAGAACAACCAGGGAGGCTCGCCCGTGCCCTCAAAGAGAGCCTCCAGGCTGGAGTCTTCTTGCGCGTCCTTGAGCCTCGTGCCCTGCAACGGGTGCAGCCATCAAGGGTGCAGTTCAAAGGCTCAGGGCACAACTGAGAGGGCCTAAAGGCCTAAACCCTAAACCCTGAACCCTGAACCCTAAACCCTAAATCCTAAACCCTGAACCCTAAACCCTAAACCCCCCAGGGCCTCGTCCCAGGGAGAATAGAAGCTTGCTGTTCGAGGCTCCTCGGGAAAGGCTGAGGTCTCTGACCGGAAGCCTCCCAAAGCCCAGCCCAAAGCGAGAGCTCCTCCGTGTGAAAGTTGGCGACGACCGTTACACGGCCTCCCGAGGCCCGGACTTTGAGACAAAGGCCTATGCTCTCTCCATGGCAAGTCTCAGCAGTCATATACTTCGGCTATATAACTATGTAAGGCAGAATATGGCTGGCCACGGTCACCCACAATCACTCACACTCTTCGTTTGGGAGCTTCCTCGCCAAATGTCGGCACCTTGGATATCGCATCCACGCCAGAAAATCAGGAGGTCCTGGTGACACCGCGCTGGCCCAACTGCGGTACAGGCCCTTGTGTCACACCGGCAGAAGCGAAGCCCCGGCCAGCCAAGAATTGTGCTCACGTCCTCGATTTGAGGCAGCGGTGTCCCGACTTGATCGCAGGTGGCACTCCTGCACGAAAGCTTTGTCTTCGGAGATATTTGCAGAAGATGCAGTCAAGAGCCAAGCACCGGGCCCGAAACCGGCGAAGTACGCCCTGCGCAGCGCGTTGAGGCGTGCGATGTGCCGATAGGTGGCAGATGTCATGTCCTGGGATCCCATCGACTCGGCATATTCTGCTTGTGCCCCGCAGTCAACAAGATGTCCGAGGTTGAACGTTCATGGAAAAGCCAAGGCTGTGGCGAAGTTGTCGCGATCTGCTGGGTTCCCTTGCGACGTCGTTCTCACCTTCAGTGGCCATCGGGAAGCGACCCTCGAGAAGAAAAGGACTCCAGAGTCATGGTCAACTAAGCGTTCCCGTTGTAGAAACTGCTGACTTGTAGAGCTGCCCCCGGTGTCACAGCTGCATGCATTGGTATGCATGAGACCAGAGACAGCTGCCACTCTAACACGAGGCGGCCTACCAACACGCACACTATATATATCATGTGCATGCATATATATATATATATATATATATGTATAGATCATATCACAAATCGTGGAGCTGTCTCCTCCAAAACCTGTTGTCGTCTAGAAATTAGACCTACCAACTACAGCAGTGGTTGGCAGTGTAAGGTCAAAGGCCAAAGGTGCACTCCGGACATTCGAGCCCACGGCTGCACTCCACGCGATGGAGGGACTCAACTCCTGCACAGCAGCTCCGAACTTCAAAGCATGCGCAGCAGCGACGTCATGTCTGGAAGCAAGGTCCTCCCGCGCCCAGCCGTCCAGCGCGCTCCCTGGCCTGAAGCGGAGACATTTGGAAGCAGATCTTGTGATGTCTTCTGGCCAACCCGGCAATGCCCACACGGGGGCACCAACGCAGGGAATCTGAAACCTTGCGGCTTCTGTCACCTTCCCAGAGCCACTGATGTCGTCATTCAAGCCAGCAGTCCACAGAACGTGTCTCCGGCCCGTCGCAAGAGGAAGCACCGAAAGCTTATGTCACTGGCCAAGCTGGCAGCTAAGCATGAACTGGTGAGAGGGCAACCCTGGTCACGTGATCAAGGCAAGCCAAAA